CCATTGTGGAAACTACAAAAAATTACTTTTGTTCAAAATCAATTAACATATGTTTTATACATTTTTTTTATGTTTTTGGACTCTTCAGAGCTATTTGATGTTAAAATTTTTAATTTTTTTGTTTTTGTCAAAATAAATAAAAAAATCAAAATCGAAGTATAAAACTTAAAACTTAACTTTGTTTGTGTAGTTTTCATGAATTTTTTATGGTCTTTTGAGCCTTTACAAAAATTCAAAAATCGTCGATTAGTTTGACTTAAAAAAATTATTTTTTCAATTTCTTTTTAGATTTTAGATTTAAAAACCCAAATTTTGTTTTTTTTTGCAATAGAAAATTTTTTGTTATAAAAAATACAAAAACACTTTCGTTCAAAATCAAATAATGAAAGTTTTGGCTTTGTTTTGGTCTCAAAGAGTTTCGTCCATAAAATTTTCAATTTTCCATTTTTATCAAAATATTTCTTTTTTCTGCCTTATTTTCTTATTTTTTTACATTATTTAACTTAATTTCAATTTCGCTGGCCACTTTGACCGGAAATTTACTGAAATTCACGGTAAAATCCTCGATTTTTTTAGTTTGGACACAATTGCTGCTAACGATATCAGAACAATGTTAAATTTTGTGTCCCAAAAAACCGGTTCAAAAATCCTTTACATTGGCCACTCGATGGGTACAACCTTATCATTTATGTATTCMTCCGAATTCAGCGAAGAAGCGAGTCAAATCCTCCAGGGAATTATAGCACTAGCACCAGTAGGGTATTTAAACGGAGTCCCAATTATTGAACTGTTTAAACCAATTGGACTCCCCCTTATTGTAATATTCACGCGAAAAGTTGACTAAAACCAAAATTTGACCAAATTTCAGGACGTGTTATCCGCATTACACATTAAAGGACTTTTATACCAGGAAAAAATTATCCACAAATTTGCAAATGTCCTTTGCAAGGACACAATCCCCGAACTCTGTTTCGCATTTTTCAGCCTAGTCACCGGAWAAACCACGCAATTTTTACCTGTAACTCCTGAAATTTGACCCACACCTTGTTTTTAATCCTCATTTCAGGAAGATTTGTTGACATTTTTGAGTTACTGGCCGAGTGGTTTGTCCATTTACGAACTGAAACACTACTTGCAAATTGGGGCTAGTAAAAAGTTTCAGAAATTTGATTACGGATCGGCCAATCTGAAACATTACAAATCTCTGAAACCCCCAAGTTACAAACTGAAGGATATTAAAGTCCCCATTTCGCTAATGTACGGCGAGAATGACATTCTTTTCAGACAAAAAGTCCGTTTTTTCACTGATTGAAACTCCTGAAAAACACGATTTTTTCAGAACGTGGACCGATTATTCGACGAAATTGGCACCAAAACTAAAACCAAATATGCCATTTCAGCCGCCGATGGTCAGGGTTATGCCCACATCGATTTCGTTTACGCCAAAAACCTWGAAGAGGATTTATACAAGCTGATATTTGACGTTCTAAGTCAAATGGGGGAAACACAAGATTTRTAAGTTCAATAAAGCAATTTCTGACACTTTTCTGAACTTTTTACATTATTACTTTCTAAATTATCTTATCAACTAAGTAGCCTTCTAGTTCCAGAACAGCACGGATTCTTTCAAAAACGCTCAACTATTTCTAATCTTTTTTCGTATGTAAATGAAGTATTTCTAATCTTTTTTCCTATGTTAATGAAGTTG